ACCCTACAGTCCCCCATCTTCCGCCATGAATAAACCTTATTAGATTGCAAGCTCCTTCGGACAAGAACCATGGCTTTTTGCATTTGTACTGCCCAGGATCCTGATCCACAGTTGTACTACAAGAGACCCTAGGAGTCCCAATTGATAAAGGATAGCGTTTCAACTTCCGTATAAAGGCACTGCAGTATACTCAGGGCCCTGTGAAAGGACAGAGGACTTTATATTAATGGCAGAAGGCAGATGGGGTAGGTTCTGTTCCCAAACTCTAATAAAGACTGTCCTCTACCCTACTGTCACCACCTGTAAAATATATAGCCATCATTGTTAACATGTAGGAACCTTGCATTTCCATCCAAGACAGAGGCGGGCAACATACAGCACACAGGCTGGATCTGGCCCATGTGGGTTTTTGTCTGGCCTGCAGTGGGTCCCTTGGTCCCCTGGCCCAGGCACAGTCCAGTCATGGTACATCTTGCTTCCCATGGGCACACAACAGGGCTGGGGTGGTTTTGTGGCTGCACTGCCTAGAAGCCCAGAGGGCAGGCAGCTCCTTCCAGCTGCCACTGCCCTGGCCCCAGCCCTGCAACAATGACGGGGACCTGTGCTGCACAGCCCTGACCCCACACTTGCTCTGGGCTTGCCCTCCCAGGCTCAGTAGTGGCAGCACAGGACAAAAGCTGTTGCTCAAAGTGGAGGGAAAGCGGCCTCTCCCCTTCCTGCTGCCGACATTTCCCTGCTGCAGCTGCCTGGAGCCTGCGCAGAGCTGCCCTCCATTTCTGCAGCCATCACGGCAACCTCTGGGCTGCCATGCAGGGCAGCAGTGGCAGCACAGAGCAGATGCAGGGCAACCCAGTGCAGCACAGGCTCCAGCCTAGAGCAGACGCGGGGCACCCGAGGTCAGGGCTGTGCTGTAGGGCTGTGCAAAACAGCCCTGTTTCGTTTCGACTTCCTTTTTGCTGTCTCGAAGGGACAGTGTTTCATTTCATCATTTCGTTTCATTTGGAAGCACTGGTCTGTTTTGTTTCATCGAAACTGTTTTGCAATTGCGATGCGTTTCTATGTTTCACCCATATGCTATAATGGGGAATCATGATAATACCTAAAACTTTGTCATTTCCTACCGGATTCAGATGAAAATTACAGGAATAGTAGCCCCTTCTAAGGGCATGAAGCCTGCCAAATTTCAAGGAGATAGGTGCACAGGTTTCTGGGAAACTGCACCTCCAACTGTTCAAAGCAAAACTCATGACCCTTGCCAGCAGTGGCATCCACCTGTTACCTAGCACGGGGATCAGGGGGCCTCCACCCCTGGGAGGGCTGCAGGGCTGTGCTGGACTCCTCCCAGGGATGCGGGCCCCCAGATCTGCATGCCTGATGACAGGAGACTGCCTCTGCCACCTGGGACCGGTGCTGGGTGCAGCCTATGCCCAGTGCTGGGAAGATTGCTACTGCCGCTGGCCCCCAGCAGCCTCCTATCATTCAGCGCACAGATCCAGGGACCCGCACCCCCAGGAGTCCGGCACAGCCCCACAGCCCTCCCGGGGCTGCCAGCCCCTGGATCTGCATGCCAGATGCTAGCAGACTGCCGCTGGCAGCAGCAATATTCCCAGCACTGGGCACAGACTGTGCCCAGAGCCAGTCCCAGACAACAGCGACAGCCTCCTTTCATCCAGTGCACAGATGTGGAGGCCCGCAGCCTTCTGTGCCAGACTCCTCCCAGGGGTGCAGACTCCCGGATCTGTGTGCAGGGTGACAGGAAACTGCCACTACTGGTTGGGACCAGCACTAGGCACAGCCTGTGCCGAGCACTGGGAAAACTCCCACCTGCCGCTGGCCCCAGCCGGCAGCGAGAGCATGCTGTCATCCTGCGTGCAGATCCGGGGGCTCGCACCCTTGGGAGGGCTGTGGGGTTGTGCCAGACTCCTCCCAGGGGTG